CATGTTGGTAAAGAATAGTTTTTCCTTGTGTGTGTATGTATGTATATATATATATAGTAAAGAAAACACACCACAACTCTAATCATGATGAAACAACTAGCCCAAGATTACCAGATTTCATTAGTAATATAACATATGCACAAAAAGAAAAAACAAATTTCCCAAAAAAAAGTCTAACTTCATTTTACTTCTTGTTGAGAAATGACACAGGCATGACCAAAAATTCTGATTTTTAACATCTTTTCTCATTGTTTCTATTTGGTCTAAAGGCTAATAATATACAATAAATTATTTTCATTTTTATTATCATTATTGTTTTCTTTCTCCAATTTCTTCCATGAGCCAACTAGATCTATACACACAAACATACATACACCCCCCCACATATATATATATATATATATATAATGAACAAAGGGTGCCAAAAAGTTCTGTTTGATCAAGAAATGCTGATCCATAAGTAAACAGTCATTTTTGACAGGTACTGTACATAAACAAAGGCCTATACTTATTTGCCAAAAAATTGATTAAAAAGCAGTATATTTGAGGAAGATAAAAATGCATTTGGAAGAATACCTCTGCATTATATTATGACCCACATTGGAACTTTTCCCGTGAAATACTGATGGGCTAAACAGCTTTTGGCTCTCTGCAAAAGGCCAAGGAATTGTTCATAAAATTTATGAAGCACAATTTTTGTATGCTTTTTGCTCTTGTTTTTCAAACAAAATCTCTTCCAAAAAAAATTAAAAGGCAAGAAAAAAAAAAATGGTTAAAAAACTCAATGTAATGCATTTGGACACATCGGTATGTCTCAGTACCAATATGGATTTTATTTATTTTTTGAATCATTTCATCCCAAGCAAGGCAATAAAGCTGCTAAGATGTAAAGGGTTACTGAGTGTGAAAGAATGAGAAAATGAAAAATATTAAGGAGAGAGAACAATAAAAGAACAGGAATTAAGAAGACAGGAGATAACAATTTAAATTTTTGAAGATCAAAGTCGACTGGAAAGCAAGAAGCTGGAAATGATTTTCACAAGTGAGAAGGAATTGTTCTAGCAATTTCAACTGTAAAATGATGAGACCTAGCTACCAATCTATTACTGCACTTAATTCTCAAAGTCGAGGTACCAAAGAGGAAAGCTCATAAGAACAATTATAATATATAGAAAAGGTGCATGGAAGCTACGTTATGACAGTGGGAAAGTGACTGAAGCTAAGATGCCAGATCAGGACTGATAACCTTGCTGCATTGGAGTGTCTTCATCTTTTGCTCTGTCTATCTAGGTAGACAATGGATTCATTTGACTCATCTTGATATAGAGCAACATCAATTGTGGTGAAGCAAATCAGTTTTTGAATGGCAGTTCTGGGAACAGTCATTGTGCCAAAAAGGGGAAATGGTTCCATCTGGGGGGGGTTGCTGCCATTTTTCTTCTTTCTTTTTCATCTACCCAGTCAGATTTGTTTTCTCTCTTCAGCAGTGCTGATGCATGTGTTTACAACCTGCCACTAGGTGCAGATGTTTTTTTCTAAGTGTCCACTCTGATATCAGTGGACTTAATGTTACAGACATTATTGTATCACAGTATTAGGTGTCTTATTAAGCTGTAACCCTGCAGTGAACTCTTAGTTGAGGGTATCTTTGGGGATGCAGCCATTCTATATATAGTCAAATTAGCACAGTCATCTGTATGTTTGGCATGAAGGGTTGGTTCAGATCTTCCTCATTCAACATAAGGTCCATCTGGAAAAAGCTGTTAGAGTGATGCTCTTAACACATGTATAAGGGAAAACTGAAAAGTTCTTGATCCAACCAACTTCCAAAAACCTGACCATCAATCTCATAGATTGTCCAATGCTCGGTGTCACTGGGAAGAGTTTGTAAGCTTTGATCTTGGTTGCTGTGGTGAGCTTGATATTTTTCCAAACTTGCTTGGACAGCTTGCCCATGGCAGTGATGATTTTTCCCTATCTATCTATTGAGCTCTTGATGAAAGGGATAAGTTACCGGAAACAGGTGATTCCAAAAAGGTGATGTTATAAACAAGCGTATGGTTGCAAGAAAGAAATACAACAGCAGAAATAGATTTACGTGATTTATTTCAATAGGAACATGTGGTTTTGGGACAGCTACCTTGTGGTATAGTTCATAGGCCGGCTGAAGATCTGGGTTGATCTCTCATAGTAGTTCTCGCTGGTTGGCGTGGCGCTACTGCTGCTGGCTGCTACTGACCGCTCAGCCTGACCGTGACAGGTCTCTTCCTTGGCCTCCTGTTGACTGCTGCTGACTGACCATGACAGATCTCTTCCCTGGCCTCCTGTTGACCTCTGGTGTACTTCCGTGTGACCCCTTTTATGGCTTAACGGGCTCGAAAAATGACGCGAGTATCGTTAGGAGGGAAGCATTTTTATTGGTCGAAAAATAGAAACCCTTTAAAATATTATTTTATTTTTCGACCGGAACTCGTGCGTCGGGAACATGCGTAAATGAAGATAATGGTCATTTTGTGACGGGGCCATGTCACTTTCACATCCGGCTCTCGTTCTTGAGTATGTTAGTTTATTTGCCTGTAAATCAGTAAATTTTATTTTATAACAGTGAATTCATCTACCACTTTCAGGGAATGACCTGATGCTGAGACTGAGCCCCCTTGTCATTTTTTTTTGGTGGGGTGGGGTGCTAATGTTCTGTTTTCAGTTACATGAGAGTGGGGGGCAAACTCTAAACAAGAATGTGTCTGGAAGTTGGCTAGTTTCTAAAGACTAGACACTGTGTGAGATTACAGGGAAGTGAAGTGCCTTTCTCAAATTAGAACCAAACTCACTTTGGTTTTTGCTCTGAGACATGAGGTTGAAGGGCTTTGCTGTTGAACCTGGTTCATATGAACATTCTGCCATCAAATGCTCTGAAAGTCTATAATAATACAAGAGAAAAGAATATCTTGGAGAGTCGGAGATGATGGTACTGCTTTACTACACTTTCAATGGGAAATGGCTCCGAGGGTGATCCATTGGATTTTATTGTGCATTGTTCTATGTCACCATAAAAAGAGATGAAGATATTCAACGGTTTTATTTTCTATTTTTTTTGTGGGCATCTGATCTTCCTCAGAATTGCAAAGAGGTCTCTTCTACTAACCAGGTCAAGATGACCTTGGTAAAATCCAGAGAAACGAACTTATAAAAGTTCCATTTTGTTCCCAGCTATTCTCCTGTAACTGTTTAAATGAGAAGATCATGTCAATGGTAGATTGCTCACTCTTGAAGCTACACTGGAACTCGGGATAGATATGATTCGCTAGTGTCTGTAGATATTTCATAGCTACTTTGGCAAAAAAGACTTGCCAATGGTCCTGAGCAGATATATGCTGGGTTAAAATATAGTGCAGAGTTATTCTTCCAAATACATTTTTATCTCTTTTTTTACCATCACTAGCAACATCACCATAAATATTATTTGAGTAAACATTTTTAAATTATTAACTAGCATAGTACCCCCACCAAAATGATGAAATTATTTACATATCGATGAGCATGCTTGCCTAGCATTCAGAGTGTCTGTGCACACCTGCCTGTGATCATCAGTGCCTGTGCATGCCTGCCTACAGTTGAATAATAACACTTTTAACACAAGTAGTCTTTGTAAGTAAAGTGCTCACTATTAATTAACAGAGCATTAAAAGTTAACAAATACAATAAATGTTCCTAGAAATGGTATCTCGATAAAAACACTTGGTGTACTTGGACTACTGTAAGTGTCGAAGTTGGGCATCTGGAAGAGCATCCAATCTTGTAAAACCTTGCCTCAAATCATTATGGCACAAGATTCTCTGTCAGCCAGGACCTGTCTTGCTTATGTGTGAAATTAATCCCCCAAAATACATGTATGTATGTATATATGTGCATATGTATGGATGAATGGAATTGACATATCAAGTTTTTAGTGTTTTTTTTTTTTTTTGTTCCTTTCATCTATAATTCTGATGGTTTTATCTTTCTGTATTGAGCAAAATTCTCTCCAGTAGAATGGGTGAACACATAAAAAGATGTATAATTATTTTGGAATAATTAGTCAATCCCAGAATTTATAATCTAAGTAACTTGGGAAGTTAATTTGCTTAGTCAGTTATACCTAGTATGAAAAAGATTACAAATTTGAATATTATATATAAATAATGAATGTAAATTTTTTTTAGATATAGAACATGATTTTACAAGGTGTTCTGTTTTTGTTTTTTTGATGCTGACTCTGCAAATGCAGCATGAGTTTTTTTTTTTTTTTAAGTCAATGAGAATTTAAACACATTGTTACAAAATGAATTCTTTTTATTTCCTGCCAAGGATTCACTAAACTATGTGTTTCTCTCATTACAAGATTTTATTGACCAGGATGGATCATTATAAAATTAAGGTACAGATTGTGATTTTTACCAGTGTCAATGTTCTAGTGAACAAAACTAGCTACTAAACTAACAATGTCGAGGTTGATACTAGTAGCGTTACTTTTAAATCTACTGACTTCTTACTACTACTACTACTTCTACCACCACAACTACTAGTACTCCTTGGACAAGTGTATATACAACTCAACGACACCAGTGATTTGTATAAACTCATCTCTAGCAACGTTATTTTTATCTGAATTTGAAAAAAAAAAAAAAAAAAAAAAAGATAGCTACAAAATATTTCTTTTTTTATAAATTTAAAAAAAAAGAAAAAAAAAGGGTTTCGTCTCACGTGACCTATTTTGCCAATGGACGCTTGTAAACGTGACCGCGTGCACATCTTAAATAAGGGACATAACTCTTTGCAAACTTACATTTATAAATTTCTGTCTATTATTTTCTCAGTGTCTCCAGCAGTATGGTTTTCAATTAATTTCCGAAAATAAAGTGCTGAAGCTGAATAAAACAGTTTTGAAGTTTGAGATTAACAGACAAAAATTAATTTGTTACTTTATATTTTTTATCAATATTTGATATAAATTTTTGCAGACAACTGCAGGCTTTGGATAGAGAATTGGAAAAACTGAAACAAAAAAAGAACTACATTCAAGAAAAGGTAAATAGAAAGTGATTTTATATTTATTTTTTTGAAAAAAAGACAAAACTATTATGAAAATGACTTGTTTAAAAATAACATCACATTTAGTGTAAACATATATAAATATTATTAATTTCTGAATGTATAAACTTTTTTTTTAAATACCATAAAAATTTCTGTTACTTAAAAATTATTTTCAAAACCAGTTAATAATTTATTTGGAGATTATATTTTCTTATGATAATGCAACATAGATATATTATCTTGACCAAGCAATTAGAGATTTTTTTTTTTTAAATGTTAGTAAGTTCTATAATAAAAATGTCAATATACTTTATCAGAGAAAAAAAAAATACTTGCATTGTCAGTTATAAATACTTACCTGGCACATGCTAGGTAGGGTTTATCATCTCTCAGTTGTCTCTCTGTTTATCATCCCTCAACTGTGGCTCTGTCCATGGACAGAGATGCAGCTGAGGTAAATAAATACCATGAGATGCCTAGTCCCAAGGAACAGCTGCCTGAGGATGCACCTCCCGCCAGTGCACTAGAGAAGGGGGATCAGTAGTTATATTGTTGCTAGTGCAACCGACAGTTGCAGGAGGCTAGAGGATAATTTTTGTCCTTCTCCCAGGTGGAGCTCTCCATGTTAAACCCAACTTTGTGCCACATCCTGTCTCAGCAGGGAGACCAGGGTAAATACCTACTTGCATTCTGAGTTGCTAATCAAACAATGAAATGAAAATTTCAGATTTATCTCCCAACTGCCAGCTTTGCAGAAAAGGATTGACTGTTTAAATTTCTTTGTAGCAAGTAATTATTTTGATCAACTTGACATTTTAAACAGGTATAATACATTTTTTTAATAATATGCTTTTAACTAAATTCATCTTTGGAATTGTCGTGCACCTGATTTAGATGATATATTATTATCTCTATGATATGATATATTGATATCTCTATGATATGATATATTGATATCTCTATGATATATTATCTCTATATGATATCTCTGATATATTATTATCTCTATATGATATCTCTGATATATTATTATCTCTATGATATATTATTATCTCTATGAACCACATAATGCTTAAGAGAAAAAAATTTAAGGAATATTGTGAAAAAGTGCATTATTTTAAGTGAACTCACTAAGGAGATGGCATTTATGAAATGGATTAAGTCTGACAATTATTTAATATATTTTCTGTTGATCACTTATATATGCGATAATTTAGGTGTTAAAAAGAAAAAAAAAGATAGTATGTAAAACTTAATAAATTAAATATCTGTCTATATTTCTGAAATGAGGTATTATGTACACTATTTACATTATTCAGACTGTTGTCCTTATCTTTGTTGCCATATTTATCACAACGTTTCGGCCATTGTATGTCCCGGCCTTCTTCAGGTGGGTCAACTACACCACACTCATCAGGGGAGTGTCATACTTGGACATCATTGCCAGAGTCAAAGAGGTGGCCTTGAATTTTCTTCAGGCTCATGAACTAAGATGGAAGGTGAGACAGACCTTGGGGAAGCCGCCCAGGTCAAACATCATGAAACTGGATAAGCTGGCGATTGAATCCCTACAGAGGAACGAAAACATCATCATACTACCGGCTGACAAAAGCAATGTTACTGTAGTGATGGACAAATCAGATTATACAAGAAAGCTGGAAAACCTCATTAGAAATGCTAGCTACAGTAAAGTAAAAATGGATCCTATAATGAAAACTGCAAACTGTCACAGATACTAATCAAGAACAAGGATCACTTTGCACCTAAGACGTATAGGCAGTTATCACTGTGTTACACCAAGCTACCTCACATATACAGTCTCCCTAAGATTCAGTTAGTTGCCAAGGCTCTGTGTGCCACCCTCTGAGTGGCTTCCTTGTAAATATAATTGACCCATTGATCAGAAAGTCACCTTTTATATGTCCAAAACTCCGCCTATTTCATGGAAATAATCAAAGATGCTCCCATCCTATTCAACCAGATGTTGAGCTTGGACGTGATGAGTTTGTTCACCAAGGTACCCACGGAGGAGGCACTCTCGGTAGTCAGACAGATCGGCCTTTGACACATCCCTAGAAAAACAGACCAGTATTCCAATAGATAATCTGATGGAGATGTTGACTTTCTGTACACAAGCAACACACTTCAGAGTGGGATCACATATATCGACAAGATGAGGGCTTAGCAATGAGCTCACCATTATCAACAGCAATGGCAAATATATACATGGAATACTTTGAGGAAATGGCATTAGAATTTATATCTCTAAAGCCAACTCTATGGTTATGGTACATAGATGACACCTTCATACTCTGGCCAAACCAGGAAGATGTTCAGGTTCTATTTCGATACAGTTCACAATGAAGATAGAGAGTAACAATACACTAATATCTCACGTAGGTTCAAGACATCTGTATACCATAAACTGACATTCACCAGACAATGCCTCAATTTCAACTCCCACCATCCATACAGCGAAAAGAAAGGGATCGTCTGCTGCTTACAACACCAAAAGTCATAAGTGGCAACCCAGAGACATTAGATAAAGAATTGGTCAATATAAGCAGTACCCTACAACATAACAACTACCCTGGGTACATGGCAGCAGCTCCAATAAACTGGGATAGGTGGGTACAAGAGAAGGACAACAACACTCAGGAAACAGTCTGCCTACCTTATGTGAAGGCGTTATCGGAGAAAATACAAAGGATCTGCAGTCCATATAACATCAGGACAACCTTCAAAAGCTGGACGACACTTCACAGATATCTCTCCCGAGTAAGACCCCCCCCAATAGAGGAGAACATGACTAAAGACTGTGTGTACGCTATCCCATGCAGCTGTGGAAAGAAATATAAAGGGGGAGACAGGTCGCTCCCTTAAGGTAAGGCTTCAAGAACACCAGAAAGCTGTGACACAAGGGGAAGTGGAAAAATCAGGTGTGGCTGACCATATATGGAGAGAAAAGGAGATCACTGTCCTTGTGGGATCAGGTTGAGATCATAGACAAAGAACAGCAGTGGAAAATTTGAACTTGAGGAATCAGCACATATGCTAGGCCACAAAAATCTCCTGAGCCGACCAAGCATAGAAATGAATAGAACATGGGAAGCAGTAATAAGGAGTGGCAGAGAAAAGCTATAATAACAAAAAAAAAATGCAATATGAGCTCTGGTAAAAACATGCAATGATTACATGATGATATAGATATTTTTATGTTGCTCTTCAATTATTCAAAAGTATTTGCTTGCTACAAAAGACATTTTCTAAAAGCTAATGTTCTGAGTCGACATCAAATGAAATGTTTTTTTTCTCATAAATAAAATTCTCTCTTCAGTATATGTTTCCTTTTTAATATGAATTTTTATTCTTTTATAATCTAAATAGGAAGAAAATTAGTTGAAGTTAAAAACAATTGTTACTTTATAAAATCTCAAAATTTTAGAATTTGAATTTGTGAGTTTAAAAAATATTGAAATTAAAGCTAAAGTGAAAAATAATTTTTTTTTTTAAGGAAAATAAGTTCAAAACACATTAAACTAAAAATATTTTTATATCAAAGTTCATGATTTTTCTTTTTAAATACATTTCATTTTTTTTTTTTTTTTAATTCCTGTTCATGTCTTTTTTTGTATTATCGTCATCAATAAAAAAGCTTATAACTTCTTAGTGTCTCGTTGAAAATGTTATTGTATGGAAGAGTTACGTCCCTTCCGTCTTGTTTCACAACTGCTATTATGTATTCCTTATATGGCATTGTGAAATCCTCTAATTTTACAAATGGACATTTTTCTTTGAACTTCTAGAGGATTTTCCATTTCAGGAGCAGATAATTCTTCTATAAATATTTATGTACATTGTTTTCCTGGTTCATAACTTTAATAAAATAACTGATAATTTAAAACAAAATTATAGACATTTTTTCAGTAACTTTTCATGAAAACATGAAAAATGTTATCAGATAATTATTTTTATCCATAGGGCTTTAAATTTCTAATGAGAAAACAATACAATTTAATACTAATTGGCACTGGTCATATTTTATACATTGAACCATGAACAGACATTGAGATGTGAATTATCTAAGTTTCCTAGCAAAACTGGTTACATATCTTATACAAGTAAATGTATGTAAATATGCATTTCTCAAAGATTAAAAATACTTTTTTAAATTTATCAAACTTATGAAAGATCTTTCAAATTTTATTTTCAGTTGGATTTGAGACGGAAACAGTTTCATGTGCTCATTGCAGCTATCCATGATCTAGAAGGCATTCTAGAAGGTGAGTCAAACAAATGGGAGACTTTCCCCACGAACACTGCCATATTTAAAAAAATCCTCTGAATTATCTCCCTTGTTTCGTCAGCGCTAAACTAAATTCATCAATAATTTTATTTTTGTTTGCGAAAAATGTGATGAGCAAAGTTTTTAGTTTGGATTCTTTCATTTTAAATCCTCTTCTAATGTTATATTTTGATTATTTACAACCGTTTTGATTTACCACGATGTTTTTTTTTCTTTTGTCCCATTTTATCTGTTTTTGATATATTTTACTTTTGTGTTAGGGTTTAATAGAAAAAAAAAAGTTAATCCCCAAATGACAACAGTGTGATATTTATACTACTTTTATTTAAGACAAAGTATCTTAGGAAAGCATAAATATAATTAATTAACTTTGTAAAGGATCTAGTTTACCCAAACAGATGCCACAAGATAAAGTGTTTTTCTGATAGAGAAGATAATCTCTTTGATTGAAGTTCTCAAATACATACACTTTGAACCTAACTGAAAGATAGTCATTCAATTCACTTGATAATTGCATGGTACAGTTAGAAGCAAGACAAAAAGTGTTACTTTATATTTTTTATTATGGGTTGAATTCCAGTAAAACATTGTACAAGACATTTAAAATATAAATAAAACTGTACTTGTTTAATCTTCAGAAATGTCATTCTTTATGATGAGTGATATCTTCATGGCCTGCCATACAATGTCAATTGAAAAAATTGTTATAACAGAAAGTGTTTCAATGGGAAAAGGGCACTGATAATTGTTAAAATTGACTTTCATTTACCACTAGTTTTAATAAAATAAAAATTATCTCAACATAAACAGAAACCTTTTAATTAAACTATTGTCTAATTAAATGTACCAAATATTGATAAATATTAAAAAGTAACATTGCTAAGATGATAGGCTTGAGATCGTGAGCATTAACCTTTGTAATCAATCATTTGTTCTAGTGAAGTTTGAGTAATTTTAGAACAAAAGGGAGGTAAATGTACAAAGTATGATCAGAAAATATTCTTAAATTTTGATTTCTAATGTAAAAAAAAAAAAAAAAAGGTGTGGGTATCTCGAAAGATTCACTAAAAAATGAGCATACATGATGAAAAAAATGTCCCAAATTTAATAAAAACAGTTTTATCGTTAAAGTCTTTTTAAGAGGAAAGAATAAAGGAGTTTTTGATTATTAAATTATATATATATTTTTTTTTATCCTTTTTAGAATGTTCAAAATTTTCATTAAAAGTTTTGTTTTTCTTGCATCAGTGGATGACCACATTTTTGCAGTGAAAAACATTGATTTGGAAATTCTTGAAAAAAAATCAAACAATTGTCAGATTTTAATGACTTTCAGGACTTGTTCACAAATAAATGAAGTTATTTTAGAAAATCTTGCTAAAATCATTTTTTTTTTAAATCTGTTACTCTCCACTTACTTAAATTTATAAAATTTCCAAAGATTCATTTTTGTACAGCTTAATGTTTATGAGTCATATCAATTTTTTTTTTCTTCTGTGAAACAGGACCCCTAGTTACCAAAAACCTGTCCTGAATTGTAAAATTTAAAAAAATGCAATAAAACTAAGACATTAATTAGAAAAGCTTTTAATTGCTTTTATAAGATATATTATGGACACTATTTTCTTAAGAAAAACTTTTCAATGAATAATGAATTTTTACAATAGTTTTTAATTTTTTTTTCTTTAAATTTTAATTATAATTTATAGTTTTAAATCTTTCAAAATTTAATTAAATTATTAATTAGTAGTAGCTAGGTGATATTATTAAATTAAAAACTATTTTCTAATTATAAATGGTAAAGCTTACTACAAGTCAGTGACCCCCAAGTAGTTTAAGAAGAATTTTGAATTTTTTTTTGTGTGTATATATAAACATGCTGATTTTTGTAAATACAGATGTCCATACATGACATAATCAAACACTTTTCAATGAATTTTTTACAAGAATTTATTTTTAAACTTTAATTATAATAATTTATAAAATTCAGCATTAATTTGTAGCGGTTAGGTGATATTGCTATTAAGCAAAAACTATTATTTTAAAAAGAATTTTGAATTTTTTTTATGTATATGAACATGCTGATTTTTGTAAACAACAATGTAACATTATCAGAAAATTTAAAGCCAAAATACCTAAAATTCAATTAAACATTAGATTATAGAGAATATTTTCCTAAATTTTTAAGATTAGTAGATAGTTAAAAATTATATTAAAAACAAAAAAATAAAAACAGGACTCATGCTATATTTCTCAAGTAATTTTTACAGATGTCTTCATAAAAAAAAACAAAAAACACCTACCTCAATGTTATAAAATGCATTTCAGCAATATTTTAAATTAAAAGTAATGTTTGTTTCAAATCAGATAATATTTCTCAAATAAAGTTTCAGAAAAGTATATTTTATTTTTGAAAGATTTTTTTGGTTAATTTGCAGGATACATACCAAAAGCCCACAGTATTGAGAATGTACCATTCTGGTGTGAAATTACCTGGTTATTTTGAAAATGACATTAATTAATTTAAAGTTTTGAAATACAGCAAAGTATTTTGCTTATTGGAAATATTAAATTTAATCTATTAGCTAGAAATTAAGACTAAAAAGAAAGCTTTTTCATTTTTAAACATTAATCTTAAACATCAGGTATTGCGTTTCTTTGGAGGTACCTAATTATAACATTTTCTACTTCCAATAGTCCAAAAGCTTCTATATGGATGATGAATTATTTTCCAACCTATAACCCCTTTCTTTGCACTCACTATTTCTGGTTGAACTAAGACCCACCATCCCCACACACATTGTAGCAAATCACTGCCTTGTGGAACTGACTCCAAAGAAGTTGCTTCCCCAATCATTACAATCTTAACTTGTTAAAGTCTAGGGTTAGCTGTTATCTTTTACACATCCACATAAGTTGTACCTCTTACTTTGTGGCCCTTGGGCTTTGTACAGGGTGAACATCATTGTAAAAAAAAAAAAAAAAAAAAAAAATTCGGTCATGGTCAAAATAATTATAATTACTAATTTTAAGTTAAAGCATTTCTATTTCTCTTTGAATATTTAAGAACTGGAAATTTTATTATTGTAGTGGTGGGGGGGTGTTAATGCTTTGTTATAAATCTTTGATAGAATTGAGCAAATGTTTCACAAAAAAATTTTTTTGCCAGTAGCCAAGAAAAGTATTTATACTGAGAGCTTTACAAATTTTCTTTTTCTTTTAAATGAATACGTTGGTGATTTTAACAAGGTTTTTAAAAACATCAGCATTGATGCTGCAAAAAGAAAATAAACCCAATTGCTTCACTCAAATCCTTTTTCATCATTGTGCTGATTTTTATCCTGCAAGTGTTACAAATTATCTCCTTCCACTATTGCTCTTAGATTTTACTGGCCTTTGTTCAGATTGTAAATAGGGAAAATTGTTATCTATATTTATTGTGATTCTTCCTTTTTAATTAATCCTTTCTAGTACTTACATATTTTTTTCTTTTTGCACTTACAGAAGATGAAAAGAAAGAAGAAGAAATGGATGTGACTTCCTGATATATTTTCCTATACAAATGGGTCCTGACCATGAGATTTAGCTGATTTTCATTCAAACTTTGTCTTCATAAAATATAAACTTTCACTTTTTTTTAAAATAAAAAGATACATTAATTTTTTTTTTTCTTAAAACTTTGAGAATCAATTTTTATAATTCATACTTATCCCAGCTCTTTCACTTTCCATTCAAAATGCATAAAACTCTTAAAAGAATTACAAACAGATTATTTAACCTGGAAGAAGACATCTCTGAGTTTCATTACTTACATATTTTCCATCCTTCTTCAATGGATTCATCAACCTAGATTTGTGCAAAACCCAGTTTTCGCATACACAGATATCAGATCTCTTTAAAAATCTACAAATTGAAACAAATTTAATTCCTTTCAGGCAAAATATTGAGTCCCCCACTAAATTTATTTTTAATAAATCAACATATTGTTTAAAGCTTTACTTCCAAAATTGTGTCTACATCTAAATCTAATTAGAAACGAGCATTATTTTGACAATTGAAATCGCATTTATTTTCATACTTCTATTACGATCTTATTTGTGTATATTTACGTTGCTTTAGCTGTGTTATACTAAGCATATTGTAGTGCAATACCACTAAAATATACTTACATGGAAAAAAAAAAAAAAGACTTTCCAATTCAATCAGATCACTAATTTCTGATTAAAGGAGGTTGGAATGTCTAAGGGAGATAACCCTAGATCTATTAGCTACTAAGAAAGTCATTTGTTTTAATTTGTCTACAGTTTTCTTCAACTTTCCACATACCAGTGATGATATTTAAATAAGCATTTGCAAATATAAATTCTTTCAAAAGAAAGATGAAGCTTCTACAGGTGGCATTTAAGAAAGAGGGGTATAATAATTTTGTCACAAAAAGATTCAGGTGTTTCTATTTTACCTTTTTGGTCATAAATTTGAAGTATTTTATTTCCACTGAAAATATATACAATAAGTTTTCTAACCATGCTATACTTTGCTTAATATACATATATTACACACAAACACAGAGCAAGCAAAAAGAAAAATCAAATACCAATTTGTTCTTTATTAGAAAACAAACTAGCTCAGGAAATTTAGACAAGTTGAAATTATGGAACATGTATAATACTATTTGAGAACTTAAAAATTAGGAAAATAGCACATTGAGTAATATATATATATATCATTAATGAGAGCTCAATCAAAAAAGGGATCTAAAAAAAAAAAAAAAATGTTTAGTCATTAGGTGAAATTTAGATAGTAGGTCAGGGGCTGAAAACTTTACTGCACCACCCATAGTTGGGCCTTTTTGAAACACTGCTTACAATGATACATGAGTCAGCAGACACAGTATGTAAGCTTTTTTTTCCCCCCTTAGGGGGGTATTTTAAAGCACATAAAATAGTATACCCCTAATTCTCAAATTCTAGAAATAGATTTAAAAATGTTTATATAAAAATGACTGGTAGATTTAAAAATATCCACCAAGCATTAAAATTTTGAATAGGTTCAGAATAAAATTTAAATATATCATCAATGAATACAGGGCTAAAATGTACAAAAGAAGTTATCAGTGGATACACTGTCAATGCAATATCAATATCAAGAGTTAAGATTAATTCAAACGTTTTCTAGATGCTTAACAATTTTCAACTTTATGTAAAAGAATATTAATTCTTTTATGGAGAAGGCACTTCAACTAAGTCTTAGTTGAACAGTTTTGGTTGATACTTGTTATGAACCAAGTCCAAAAACTCTTCATATGAGAATAGCATAATTAGCCTCAGTCAAGTATGAAAGAACTAAAAATCCAATTCTGGCAGATGCATCATTAAAAAAAAAACATCTTTCATTACAGCTTTCCTAAAGTTTTTTCTTTTTCGTGTTCTTTTTTGACTAACCAACTTTGGTATAAATTATTAACCACTACTTCAAAATCATTAATAAAAGGCACAGTAACAAAAAGATTAAGTCACATTCTCTGATTGATTATCTTTGCAACTTATTATTTAGTGATATATTTAAGATATTGTCAATAGAACTTGCTTTCAGTTTCCTGAAATAGACAACTACCATTGGATTTTTAAAACAAAAAAAATGATTTTAGAATTTCAGAAAGAATCAACATTTATGACTAGACATCATTTTCTTTATTCACACTTTACATCTTTTTAGATCAATCAAAATATGAAATTCGCAAACCTTTTATCTTTAAAATTAATTGATTTCTGCTTTCTTTTAAATAAATTTTTAGGTAAAAATTAAATTTGAAATGTCTGAAGAATTTTCAAGCAAATTATTTATTACTTCATTCTGTACACATTGGCATAATTTTAATTAAAGACCATCCCATTGGGAAATTCATAAGTGGATGGTGTTTATTTACTTTGCACTTTTGTGAAATGACAACAGTCTATCAAAACATTCATTGCCCTAAAAAATGCTTGTAGAGTAGACCCCTTTTATACTTGACTATAATTATTTCCAAACACCAACAGAATTATCCATTCCAAGAGTTATTTGGACTACTGACCACATTTTTGCATTGCAAAAAAATTAATTCAATCGACAGTCAAATTCACCTCTATTTTCTTTTGCCAATATTCCAGTTTGTGGAAGTATCAGCTGAAAACAATGCTAGATGTCAGTAGTTCACAAAATAAAGAGCAGCTACCATCCAATTAGCTTCTGGAATGATTGCTTTTCATATAATCTGTATCCAGAGGATCCTTTTTTTTTTTTTTTTCTCTCCAATGTTCCTTGTTACATCTTTTGATCTTTTTCAATTCTCCTTGGAGAGACACTGATTTATTCAGTTATTTCTAGAAAAACATTGACGTAACGTTTCCCATCTGAAGGCCAAACCAACTAGTTTAGTAAATTCTTCAACTCTCATCATTTTAGGATGCTCAGAGTAGGCATAAATGTGAAAACAAAAGATGAATATAATGGGTTAAATTTATTAATGCAACTGATGACGACTTTTTATATTTCTTTACACGTTAGTCAATTTGGAACTTGCATAAAAGGAACCAAAACTTCATCCAATGTTAGAAGTTGCAGAAGAGGAGGCAGCAGCAATGCTACTTGCAGCCATCAAGGAGTCATTTACATAGTCTATTGCTGTGGCTGATCCAATAGCAATAATTGCTTCAGCTGCAAGAGCTCGATTTTCACTCAGCTCAGGGCTGTACAAGTTGATTCCATTCCCATTGCAGCAGGGATTTGACTCTGGTGGTCCCAGAGGTGTGCAGGGTTCAGTGCAGTTGCACTTGTAGGCTTTTAAGGTTGCTGCATCTAAATCATCATGTGTACGCAAGTGTTTTTTGAGATCCCCTGATTGTATGAATGACCGTCCACACAAACCGCATTTGTAAGGTCTGAGTTTTGTATGACTCCTCATGTGAACAATCAACGTGCTCGACTCTGCAAATGTTTTCTCACAATATTCACAACGGTACGGCCTTTCTCCTGTATGGGTGCGTGTGTGCTTCTTCAAGTCACTTGACTGGATAAAGGCCTTTGGGCACAGATCACACTTATATGGCCGCTCTCCGGTATGACTTCGCCGGTGGATGGTCAACGAACCAGACTCTGTGAATGTTTTCAGGCAGAGATCACATTTAAATGGGCGGTCACCTGTGTGATAGCGCAGGTGCTTAATAAGATTGCTTGGACGCATGAAGACTTTGTCACAGAGGTCACAGTTGTATGGTTTACCACCCAGGTGGGTCTTTGTATGGACGGCCAGATTGCTGAGATGGGAAAATGTCTTAGGGCAAAATTCACAAGAATATGGCTTTGTGGATGAGGTGTTGCTATCCATTTCATTTTGGGAGCCATTTCTGTTTGCACATTCTTTGGAATGGCTCATCTGTTGGGCAAGGGTTGCAAATTCTTCTTTGCATAAAAGGCAAGTGAAACTCCTGGCAACTTTAGATTTAGGGCTGGTGGTTAAATCAACTGATGGTTGAGTGAGTGGCATGTTATGTTGCTGTCTCAAGCTGAGTGCAACCTCATAAGACACTGACCGATTGGTCTGTTCCTCGTGGCTCTTCTTGTGTTTCTTCAAATCACTCGACTGCACAAATGACTTCTCACAAATGTCACAAACATATGGCCTTTCACCAGTGTGTCGCCGCAGATGCACATTCAATGTGCCAGACTCTGTAAATCTCTTCTGGCAATAGCTGCATTCATATGGCTTTTCTCCCGTGTGCACACGGATGTGTTTTGTAAGGTCACCAGATCGAGTAAACTTTTTGGGACAATAGTCACAGTTCAGAGATTTTCGACCAAGATGGACCTTTTTGTGAACAGCAAGGTTTCCATGGAAACTAAAGGACTTGTCACAGAGTTCACATTTGAATGGTTTGGGATTTGTGTGTGTGCATGTGTGGGAATGCAGCTGAGAAGCAGTTGAAAAAGTAACATTACAGTCTGTACATTTGAAATGCCGCGACCCACTTAGGTGCACCTTGACATGATGAGCAAGGGCACTTGATTCTACAAAGTCCTTTTCACAGTGATTGCATTTGTAGGGTCGCTCTCCTGTGTGTATGCGTGTGTGTTTGGTCAAGTCTCCAGACTGAATGAAAGCCTTCGGACAAAAAGTACACTTGTATGGCCGGTCACCAGTGTGCGTGCGAGTGTGGACGGTCAAGGTACCAGATTCTGCAAATGCCTTGTCGCAGTAGGTACACTTAAATGGCTTGACGCCCGTGTGATACCTCTCATGCTTGGTAAGGTCACCTGACTTGGTGAAGGTTTTTTGGCAGTAGGTACACTGGTATGGCCGGTCAGTATTGTTTGTGCGTTGTCTGGGAACCCGAGAAGAAGGGGCACTAAAGGATTCCTGGAAGAGATTGAAGTCAATTGGCTTGTCATGATGAGATGTCATGTCTCCAGACTGATTAAAGTTTTGATTTGTGGAGTCAGGGTGTACACTGCATACATGTATGGACAAAGAATCAGCATCTGGGAAAGTGGCTAGACAATTCGAACAATTGAAGGGCAGGGAATCTGTGGCATGGGAGTGCACATGAGTGGCCAGGGAAGTTTCATCATTGAAGGCCATGTCACAGTGTCCACAAATCAACGGGTGGGAAACTGATGAACCAACTGCCATGTCCATTTCTACACTCATTCCAGCTTCAATATCTTTGTTTTGTATTTTGCCAGAGTCTTCATAGGTCTGTTTCAGCACTACAGATACAATAACGCAACACTTATTTTTGTGTTCAAATTGGATTTTTTACAAGCCTTGATGTTTTCAAAGAAAATAAATAGGTTTGTTAACAAAAATAAAAGAAAACAAATAACCTTTAAGATCAGTGGATTTGGATTGTTCAGGTGGAATTATTCTTTTTGAGAATCTAATCAGCAGAAAGGCCAAAGTTCATAACTTCTATTGCATCAAAATTATGCAAAGAAGAAATAAGAGGAATGTGAAGAGTTCACTTTTGGGGGAAATTTGCCCATCAATGATTATGGCAAAATGGATAATAATTACATGTCGAGATGTACTGGATATTGGAGAAAGGTCACATTATTGGTCCAATCATCAGAAAATTTGTGTTCACAAATCACAGCAGAAACCTGGAAAATATTTAATAAAAAAAAAAAAATAAACTTGTTTACTATCAAAAGTAAAAAGAAAAAATAATTTAAATATATTTCTTTAAATTTATTATAAACAAGGCACTGAATTTGTTATTGATAAAGCAGAGCATTTTAAAAATTACTTTCTAGCATTAACTGAACTATCATTGAATAAATCAGTGGAAGTAACTTTTAAATTTTATTTTATGATCAAGCTGAGCCATTTTGTAATGACTACAAAGTCTAGTAGTATCTTGACGGGGAGAAAGGGAAGAGGGAGTGGATAACAATCCTGATGCAAACAAGTGAAAACAACTTATATATATATTTTGACTGAATCTTTCTAGAGTTGATCAAAATATCCATCAAGTGGAGAGTAGTTGGTCACAAATAAAACAAACTAGTAATTGGGGCAGTTTAAAAGTATTTTTTTTTTGTTTATCTAGCCTTTTCTAGTTAATCTGCTGTATTTTTTTTTTTTTTTTTTACACTATCATCAGTTGGTTAAGAGTTGTTCTTCATTCACATGAATAATATGGAAAAAGAAAAGTAGAGTCAGTGTTGACATAACTGGTGTTATTTATATTTGGACTATTGTCCCAATCTTGTTTTTGTGATAACATTTTGGCCATCATGCTCTCTGGCCTTCTTTCTAATGTTTGTCAGTATGGTTAACATTTCGAAGTTAACCCTGAACTGAGGGTGAATTGTTTTTGTTGCACCGTCCATGTCTAGGGACATTTTCTCTTGTTCTTATTGCACACCCTATTTCAACTTAGACTAAGTTTGCACTACCAATTACTATGTCACCAAATTCATGAACCAACATTTTAATCCACTAGGTTATCATGCTATGGGACAAACCTAAACCTAAAAATATGGAACCTTCGACCTAATGGTCATCCATCCTGCCTGATGCTTTTTTATCGATTGATTTTCTTTATGGTTTGTCAACACTTTGCAGGTTATTTAAAGCTAGAACATATTTTTAGATTGTAAGAATTTTTTTTTTTTTTTGAGGTAATGATTTAGTGATACAAATTTTACTAATTAATCTATAGCTAGGGGGAAGAGGTGAATTCATACCTTTCCCAAGGGTATTTGCATGAAAGTGAATATAACAAACCCAACCAGAATTGGAATTTGCCTCTCTGATAAACAATTCCAAGCCATTATCCATTACACCACCCACACATTCAAACTTACAGTATGTGGTATTCCCAAGTGGTCACCCATCTAAGTAATGACCAGACTCAACATTGCCTAACTTCACTGATCATATGGGAATCTGTTTCAACATGATATAGCTGTAAAATTTTCTTGGTTTTACAAAGATTTTCGAAAACATTAAACAGCAATCAAGAGGCAATAAATCTTTGAAAATTTTTTTTTAAAAAAGAAGTTCAGTTAATCAAAGAAACGTTTAGTATTGTTAATATAAATGTTGTGAAAGATTCATTTGGAAATATCAAGACAACCAAGAATATCTATAGACACATTTGCCTCAATTGAATTCACAGTGAAAAGAAAAAAATCTTGAAGCTTAGTGAATGAAGATGTGGTTAATGATTGAAGAAGAAAATGAAACTAAATGAAAGATTCTCTGATAGCCTATCCTAAAATCTTATTACATTTGAATGAAACAGCAGTAGAAAATATGGGATTACAAAAATCAATTACTGAAGCTCTTAGTATCAATATATTTTAACCTACTATTGCCATAAGTATTTCTGGTCTTGTAATAATGGACAACCCCAAAGTTTCTTTACAGTGAGGCTTTCCTTTCATGCATCAGACACCCCTCCCTCTAAGTGCAAAACAACAAAAGTGTGTAACAAAACTTACTCCATGTTGAATGCATAACAGATAAAGTTTCAGAGATTCTGTTCAAATATCAACATCATCTTCCTAATCTCAAGGACATCAGCATTTGCTGTAATGTGTAAATATAGAGACCAACTACTTTTTTGAAAGTTTCCATGTGAAAAGGGGCCAAAAAGAAAGGAATACTGGTTGCTAAGCATGAGTGTCATTTCATACTTTTAAGTATCAACAACAAACAGCTACTGATACACAAAGGAGAAAAGAAAGAGTAAGGATCTTACTGCATAATGCAACAGATGGATTGCAACAACAACAACAAAAAAAAGGTGATGGGCCATACATGCAGCAATTTAGCTTTTAATGCCAGTTTTACAATACACCCCATTCAGAAACTCAGAAAAAAGACATAAAATATTTAGCACTTGTCATCAACAACAGGAAGAACAAGAATAGTGATGTATACAAAGTCCAATAAACAAAATATGATTAATAGTTGTGGATTTTTTTGCAATGTCCGACTGACAATAGACACAATACACTTTTTCACAGCAGTTAGATGGTGAAAAAAGAAAAAATGGTGCAGTGTTACAGCCTTACAAAAATTCTGTCATAAAAAAAATGTCTTAAATGATTATTTTTTTAAAAATGCAGTAGAAACATCTGGGCAACCACAAAATAAGTGTATATGTAAATGTAACATAAACACACTTAAGTCAAATAAAATGTCAGGCTAATGTCAATTAATGCAGCAAGATCTTATTTTTTATATCAATGCTATAATTATTTTTTTTCTTTTAATCATTTCACTTCCAGCAAGGATATAAAGCCACTCAGATACAAGGTGTTACTGAGAAAATATTAGTGAGGAGAAAGGACAACAAAAAGAATGGGATTCCAGAAGGATAGAAGACAACAATTGATGTAATTAATTTAAATTTTTGATGATTATAGTTGATGGAAAGCAAGATGCAAGAGAGTTCTAAGAAAGAAACTATTAGAATAGAACTTAGTTATACTTGGCAATTTTGACAGTAAAATGATGAGACCTAACTGCTAAGCTAGTACAGCATTTAAATTCATAAAGTCAAGGAAAGCTCATCCAAACAATTGCCATGAAAATATTCATAAAAAATTTAGTTTATAAGTGGTCAAAAATTACAACAGAAAAAGAGGAATTTATTTTAGAAATATAGTGCACTACAAAACTTAAAAGTGAACATTTTTAATATTTTGATTTTGTCTGGAAATAAAATCATTGCCATTTTAAAAGGGTTTTTGGTTATTTTATAAAACACTTCAATAGTAGAGAGTATGATCTGAATGATTACAATGGAATTGTAGAAAATGTTGTTTCTTGACAATTTATGCAATCTAAAGGGTTTTGCTTACAGGTCAATTCATCAGTTTCTGTTAAAAACAGTATTAAGTCTACACAGTATGGGAAAGAGGACAAAGTTGTCCAATTTCAAATGTGGTAGGGTTGTTGAACTTTGACATTATCAAGTGCTATCACATGGAATAGTAGTGAATTAATCAAAGCCAAACAGTTGTGAAAATATTTTTTTGCATAATCCACAAAGTTATGAGGCTAAAAGTATGTGGTAGTCCAAAGAACATGCCTAATGATGAGATAGCATTTATTGGAGTACCGCAACAAGATCTCAGTCAGTCTATATGCTCATAGGCTCAAAAAGGAGACCTTTAAATACATTAAGAAATCCAGATTTAGGTACAGAAAAAAAGATTACAGTATCTAATTCTGAAAATGATCCACAAATAACACAAACTCAATTTCATCAAATATGAAAAAGAGTGGTGGAGGGTCCTATTTATAATTTGTAGATTAGAGAAGAACTTCAACCTGGATGGCCCAGATGAGGAAAGGAAAACTTTTTGAGTTGGAGGTAGGAGGGCTCATAATTGAGGGAAGGGGCTGCAAGATATGGAGAAAAAGTACTCAATTTTGCTGACAGGTGGCTAAACGTGGCAGGATACATGAATAAGCCATAACATGTGAATTTATTTAGTAGTTAAAAAGGTGTCCGGATCGACAGAGCCTGCAATTCGCGAGTCAGCAGACCAAAGTTCCTATTCCTGCTGGAAGAGGCACGCGACGAGTAAGGTAAATAAAATGTGATGTTCTGACCGGCCAACAGCCCGGATTTCATCATTAAAAAAAAAAAAGTAAACCTATGGGTTATAGTAAGAAGACGGTTTATTATTATTATTATCATTATTGTATGGACTCAAAACTGTTAGATTTGTAGTTTGGAATGAAGTGCTTGATAAATTCTTCCAACTGTTTGGATCAAAGCAGTAAATAAATAAGCAGTAACCGTAATGTAAAAGAATATTAATGAAACCTTTCTGAAAAAAAATAATGTTCAATATAAAATCAACTAGGAGTTAATGAGGAAATTGTTACCAATTAAAAATGAATCGACTGATACCTCCTAAATTCAATACGAGGTGTTGAAAAGTTCTCGGTCCGACATTCATCCCATTGAATCTCTTATTGGTCAGGCCGAGAACTTTTCAGATTTTTTTTTTTTTTTTTTTTTTTACATATAAAGTTTTATTTTAGATTATCAAACCAAATGCAATGCACGTATGATTTAAAAGATTTATAACAACGTTAATTTTGCCCGAGTTTCAAACTGAAAATAATAATTAAATGCCAATGGGCTCAGAAATGATGCTAAAAAGACTTCCGACATATCAAAGTCAATTTAAAAAAGCGAATGATTGATTTTTCTCCTGACAGGATAAAACAAACCGTTTGCATGTTTTAAATATATTTTAATATTATTGACAATATAAAAGAATGGTATTTATTTTTAAAGAAAGAATAGAAAGCAATTATTAAATGGGACAGTGCATAAAAAAAAAAAACTTTCTTCAATCAGGTTGTTGGCATGAAAGTGATTTCATTGCAAGTATATAATTTCTTTTTGAGGTTAGGATGTTTTTTGTTATTGTTTAGCAAAAATCCGACTATTTGAAAAAAAGAAAAAATAACCACACCAAAACAATCACCAGGACATATGATTATGATTTTTTTAAAAACGTAAGGGATTTTATTAATATCAGATTTTTACCTTTTTAATAATGAATTTTACAAATCATTTTATTTTAAAATGCTAAATTAAAATCACAAACCTTGACTTACTTAACAGAAAAAATAATTTTTTTTAATAAGATTTAAAAATAATATTTTTTTAAACCATTTTCTGTGCAAATTTTAATATACATAAATTTTTAAGTTAAAAATTGCGGACTAGAAGTCTTAGTAATTTTTATTTCTGGTTTAAAGGGGAAAAAAAACAAACAAGATTTTGAAAACAACTTCATGGATGGCAATAAGGTCTCGATTTTTTTTTTAAAGAGATTGATTAATTTAAACGAATAATAAAATAAAAAAGTAACTGAATTTTTAATAAGTGTTTTTAAATTCGATGATAAATATTTTTTTATTTAAAAGTTCAAATAAAAATACAAATCTAAAAACATAATTAAAAAGACGCTGACAGGTATAGAATGAAATTATGAACATCAACCTAATTTTAAAACAGTGTAGAGAAATTAGATTAGAAATCGTTAAAGAAAAAAAAATAAGTCATAAATTCAATTAAAGGAAAATATATTTTTTTAAAATAAGGTAAATAAGGGATAGGCCGGGTTTAGGGAATATTTAAAAACAGCAAAACAAATCAAGATTAGTAAGTAGACTAAAAAGAGTGCAAGAGAGAGAAATGAGTTATTTGTAAAAAACGTTATGAGCTTATAAGTTAGAAATTTCATATGGCTATATAAATAACAAGATAGATTTATAATTTATTTATAAGCCTTTTTTCTTCTTCTAGGGTTGATATTTCAACAAATTTATCTGTTAAAAGCTTAAGAAGAAGGGATATTTTTGTGTCGACATGCTTCCTCTCCTCTTCCTCTGCCTCACATTCCCAGGCTTGTGAAAGTAAAAATTAAATATATATATAAATAAAGACAAATATTAGAAAATATTTAGCCTTTACTTCCCAATATTTGGAATTACGTTTGCTTACCTGGCAACATCACGGCCAGGGTAGCAGCCGTTATTGCTGCAAATGTTCTTGAAATAAATAAAAAAAAAATGTTTTTTTTTTAGTTATTTTTTTTCTTTCTTTGGGTCGATTATTCGTACTGAAGGAACAACTCCAACGTTTTACGTGTGTGCGTGTGTGTAGTCAAGTCCGCCTCCCACTCCCACCGATTCATTAACTCTTGCCTCTACCTATCTCCCTTCCGCTCTTCGTCTCCTCTCTACTTCTTACTACCAACTCTCTGTAGGTCTATCCTCCACCTATTCCCTTTCTGTGCTTCTCCTACTTTAGTTTCAAACATCTCCTCGTCCTTCTCCTCTCTACGGAAACACGCAGCGCCACCTGGTGGAGAGAAACATCAAGTCTTTGTTATTTAGGCCCATTTAGGTTCCCTGTCTTCATGTCACACATAGCGTAGGATACGATATTCCCTATCGTCATTTTTGGCCTTGTGCACCCTACAGCGGCATTATTTTTTTACTGTTTGTAGCCAATTTGTTGCTTTATGACAATAATTTAAAATTATGAATATAGTCATTGTCATAGTTGTACTTGCAAAAAATAAAGATAGCCCAAGTCTGGTATAAGGCCATGGGAATTGCTAACAAAGTGTTCATATAAGAAAAAGTAACAACAGTTGAGAAACTAGTTATCGTAAGGGCATTCTCTTTTTTTCTTGTCCTGCCACTTTTTCTCTATTACTCCTTCGCTTACCCAATAAGTCTTACGTTTATGATCTTATATATGAATTCTTATATATATCCAGTTGTTTCTAAGTAGGTACAGACGCTGTACATCTGCTTTTAAAGATGATGCATAGGGTTAGATGTTTTCGTGTGTTTCGATCTATTCTCCACACCTCTTCGATTTATGACATTGTGATTCCATCATGCTGTCTCGTCTGATAAGAATATATCAGGTACATGCATCACAGCCAAATGTGTGCGATATGGTGACAGGCTTTGATAAAAGCAGCTCATAACCTCACCGACGGCATCCAGTAGGAAATATCTTCAGGTCAGGTAACTCCGCCCGCTCAAGCGATCTAAAATTGATTGTCTTTCTTGATATCTAGATATGACTCTCGTGTCACTGTGGTTGCTTCGTCCTTTAAACTTAAAAAAGAAACACGCCTCTCGACACACGCCATGATCATTTATCCCACTCATGAACGGACGAGCGCAGTGTGTCTGCCATAGGGGACATACTCAACTCATTAAGGTCAAGCCCATTAGGGTCACCATAGCGCCACATGTACTGCAGCTATAGTAGAAGTGGTGTTTCCTGGGTAAGATAGACTGACGGAACCCAATACTCTCCAGACTGGATAGAATCAAAGTTTTTCTTTCTTCTAGACCGGTTACCACCCAAGGCTATAGGATCAAGTCTGTCCTGCTATTTACCAGTAGCTGGGGGGGGTAGAGAAAAGATGGATTCATACCAAGAACAGCTCTCCAATTCCTCAATCCGAGCTGATATTCATCACTCTACTGCGCCTCCCTGTCGTGATTGTCTGGTCCCAAAACCTGCATCATAGTTAACTATGAATTTCATAATCTTTTCCATATGTTTTGCCAGGGTTACAGGGCTACGGTTTTGTATTCAGACTTTTCCTTATCTGTGGAAACCATTGCCAACCATAATTAGACAGTGCAGTTTAACCTGCTATTTAATCAATACATAGGAGGAGCAGTTATTGAAAAGATCATGGAATTTTACGATCACGTGCCCCAACCCATTAAGGTTATATAGGCACCACATGTACTGCAGCCGCAGTAGCAGTTGTGCTTCCTGGGCAAGATAGCCTAAGAGCCCAATCATCTCACAACCCCTTTTGAATTCAACTTTTCATTCTCCTAGACTAGTCGTTAACCAGGGCTATAGAACTCAGTTTGTCCTGCTAGGAGAAGACATGGATTCATGCCTTTCACGTAAGTGAAGTAAGTGTAATGAACTCGACTGGAATTCAAAATCGGCTTTCTGATTCGTCAATCCGAACTGCTATCCATTAATCCACCATGCCTCCATATGGCAACTACAGGAACATGTAGGGATATTATTATTATTATTATTATTATTATTATTATTATAAATAAATAAATAAAAATAAAATATAAAATAATAATAATGAAAATTATAAATAAAATAAAATAAAACAATAACATAAAAATATTGTATAAAATAAATTAAATAAAAATTTAAAATAATAAAAATACTCTCAGCACGCAACAAAAATTGTCCTTGTCGGAAATACGGACATCCTGCCAAAATAATAAATTCAATCTCTTCACCACGAACCCTGTTACGGGCAACATGTGTCCAACTTCTCTCTGTGATATGGCTTGTAAAACTACGGAGTAAATTCTCATTTTATCACATGTACCATAAAATAATTGTAATCTAAAAATACACACATCAATACAAACAAAAAATATAAATAAATTGTATGAAAGCTCTTAGTGAAGTTTGGCTTTTCGCTATCTCTCCTAATCCCTGTTCTGCCAACCATTTACACGCACTCGTTAGATATGTTATACAACACATACCTCTGTCCAACTTGTCTTCAATATGTTCTGTGAGTGTCACATTTTCGAAGCCCTCTTTCCTCATTATGTGCCCTAGAAATTTCGACTCTCTCTTTTTGATGTGAAGTATAAGCGTCCCTTTTTATTACCATTTTCTCAAAAACTTTGTAATTGCTCACATTTCCAGTTCATGTAATTCTCAGGATGCTTCTGTAGAGCCACATTTCTGTTGCCTCAAGTCTCTTCTTCATCTGTGAGAAGATTGTCCAGTATTCACAGCCATATAGGGGGACCTATATTACATAACAGTCCAGTACCGTTTTCTTTGTTTCTAACGATATTTTCCCGTTTCTTAATACTTTACTTAGCTTTTGGAAGGCATCTTTTTCTATCCCAATGCGCCTTCAAATTTCGTTCTTATATTTTTCGTTCTCAGTTAAAAATATTTTCTATTTATTTAAATTGCTTGATTCCGCTGTCTCTAATTCATAGTTTGCATCTTGGGCTGTTCATTTGGCTGGCAATCATCCATTCTATCTTCTTATAATTGATGTTTAGTCATTTATTTTACTATCTTTTGTAAGAGTTCCTGTATTTTCTTATCTGTTTCTGCTATCAACATTGTATCATCTGAATATCCAATGTTGTTAAGATTATGGCCGCCACTTGAAGCAACAGAAATGAGTAAATGAATGGTGGAATAGGGTTTAGGAGAAATAACAGAAACACAAAATTTATTAAGAGCTGCAATAGACAGGAAGTTGTGGAGAGCCACGATCGCCTACGTCCTAAGGGGACACGGCACATAAAGAAGAAGGTAGAAATTATAATTCTCTTAGAATCGCCTCAATGTTAAACTTGAATAAGTCCGACGAGAAGACACCTCATTGTCTTACACCCATTTCTATTTTTGTATATTTACTGAAATAATTTTCTATCCGTATGCAGGTGATTTACTCCCAGTGTAAGTTATTTTAATATCCTTCCCAAATACGATATGCTTAATTAACAGTTCTTTGTGACGTACGTTTTCAAACGCTTTTGCGTAATCAGTTGCGGATTTGAATCAACCCACAACAAAGATAAAAAAAATTGTGGATTTACAACTAAAATATTCTTAGTGTGTATGAGTGTTAAAATTCTTACAGTCCTTGTTTGTAGTTGTTAAAATGAAAAGAAATGTGATTTCTTCGCGTGTATGTGTGAGAAAGAAGAGAAAAGGGGGAAAGGGAGGAGGAAAATGTAAGTGTCACGTAGCTTGGTGAGTAAGACGAGTGAATGAATAAGGGGATTTCTTTTAAGCCGCACCGCTGTGAACAGTTGTCGTATGTTGCCGTCTGTCTCTCCCTACGATTTTGTCCGTCTAAAAACTTTGCTTAAATACTCTTCAAAGGGATTTTTTTTATTGTTGGCGGGAACGCGACCTGTTGGTTGAAAAATGTTAAATATTTATTTTTCAAAGCATTAATTTATTAACCGGAAGGATGCGCAATCCACCGACTCAGAAACCATTTTTTGTCATTTGGTGTTTAACTGTCTTGAGGTTTATTTCCGTCCTCGCTCCATAAATCTTTAGATCATGCAAAAGATTATACGATCCCTTAGCGCTAGTAAAATCTCTGTTTAAATATTTGTTACGCATCCCTTAGAAGTGTAGATAGTTGAAATTATGTTTAACTCATTTTGTCGAAGTAAGTATGATCAAGTCTACTTATATATGGCTTTTTCTTTCTTTTTTGTTATGGCGAATTAACTAAATTTGTGTATTCAAACTTCCCAACTTTCAGATTAAAAAATTGATAGAGTGCTAAAAATGGCCTACAATATAGTTGCAATAAGCCATCAATATGACTGATGCTAACCCCCTAACTAGTTGCACCTTCTCGGGCTAATATTCTTGTTTGATATGAAGTAGAAAGACTATATTGTATCCATTGTTAAGTCAGCTGCAAAGAAAGTTGGTTCACTGTGTTGTGCTAGACAATTTTTTTTCCAGAATATATCTTACATATCTATAAGTCTACCATTCGTCCATGCTTAGAATATTGCTGCCACATGTGATCTGGCACTTCTGCTATATATTTAGAGATTCTTGATAAAATCCAAAGATGATTCAGCAATATTATTGGCCCTGACCTGGCGTCTCGGCTTCAGTCACCCTCCCAACGCGGTGAAATTGCTTCCCTGTGCCTTTTCTATAAATACTTTCATGGTAACTGTTTGGATGAGCTTTTCGCTATGGTATCTAAATTTTATGAATTTTAGGGTCTCATTAATTTACAGCTGAGTTGGTTAGATGTAACCGTAAGTTCTATGTTAGCAGTTTCATTTCTCGTACTTCCCGTTTGTGGAAGTCTCTTCCGGCTCTATGCTTTCCAGTCACCTTTAATCTTCAAAAATTTAAATGCAATGTCAATCGCTATCAACTATCTTCTTGATTACTCTTCTATTCTTCTCGTTCCTTTGTAATATTTTTGTTTTCTAATTCTTCTACACCCAGTAAC